AGTGTATCATTTCTCAAATATCAGGAAATTGAGACAAATGTATAAAAAATAAGAGCCATTCCCCAATTGATAAATGTTCAATAATATGAATGCTTTTCAGAGGAAAAAAAATCAAAGATAACTATAGTCATATAAAAATGATCTAAAGCATTCTTATTAGTAAAAGACAATTTAAAATAACTCTGATGTACCACCTCACACCTATCAGAAATGACAAATGCTAGAGGGAATGAAGGAAAATAGCTACATTAATGAACTGTTGCTAGAAGAGTGAACTGACTCAATCATTCTGGAGAACATCTGAAACTGTGCCTTTAGGGCTATAAAACTATGCATACCCATTGATCCAGCAATTCCCACTACTAAGTCTATACCATAAAGAGATTAAAGAAAAGGGAAAAGAACCTATATGTACAAAAATATTTCTAGTGCTTTTTTGTGGTGGTAAAGAAGTAGGAATTGAGGGAAAGCTCATCAGTTGTGGAATAGCTGAACAAGGTGTGTTATATGATTGTGATAGAATAATATTGTGCTACAAGTAATGCCAAGGTGGGGCTGTTTCACGGGGGAAATCACAAGATTTGTATTAACTGGTCCAAAGTGAAGTTAGAAGAACTGGGAGATCATTGTGCACAGAAACAGCCATGTTGTAATGAGATCAACTGAAAGACTTGGCTACTCTGACGAACAAACTCATCCAAGATAATTCTAAAAAACTCCTAATGAAAAATGCTATCCACCTCCAGAGAGAGAATTGATGAATTCTGAGTGCCAAATAGAGTATAATTTTCTCATTTTTTTAATCTATTCATTTATTTTATCTATTTTTTATCTATTCATTTATTCTTCTCTTCCTTCCTTTATTTATTTACTTATTTAATTTTCCATATGGCTAATATCCCATATATAATTGATGTCATAGTGTTTGCATTGGTCAATTTGGTGGTCTAGAATCCGTTCTAAACACAGAAGGACTCTCAGCATCATCCTTCACATTATCAATGAGGAAAATAAGGCAAAGAGATGGCTAGTAACTTCTTAATGGAAACATAGGTAATGATATTCAGTGTTGGAATTTGGACCCATTTTCTGCATCCAGAGTTAGCAATCTTTCCATTGTACCAAGCTAACACACTCAACAAGTCAAGGTGACTGAAGGACAGTGTTGGATCTGGGATCATTCTTTTAAAAAAAGATCAAACTGTTATGGTTCATTTTACTTCTCTTGGTATTCCATCAGCAACATAGATCATTTCTACTACAGTATGCCCCAGTTCATGCTCAAGTTTAAATCTCTGAACTATTAGACTTTACCTGATTGTTTCATTTTTCCAGGGCATAATTTTCAAGGATGCTACTTTGGAAATGATCTGATCAAGATTCTACACTCAAGTTTGAAAAGGAAAAAATGGCTTGATGAATGAAAAGGTATTAAAGTGGGATAATGTGTTACTACAATTGCTGATTTTCTAAATTTGGAATCATATGCATCAGTCATCAGAAAAAAAAAATTATTTGGGAGGGGGCAGCCAGGTGCCGCAGTAGATAGAGCTCTGGCTTTGAGTAAAAAGGACCTGAGTTCAAATTTGTCCTCAGACACATGACACTTAATAGTTGTGTGATCCTGGGCAAGTTACTTGACCCCAATTGCCTCACTAAAAGGCAAAAAATAATATTTTGGTGCATAGTACATATTACTGAATTTATATCATAAGGGCAATCTACTTTACCTAAATTTACTGAATACTTATTATGAGCAGGATTTAATTCAAAATAGATAAAATTGAAAAGTGCATGTTCATTAACTTTAAATTCCTAAGAACCCAGCACCAAGTGTGACAAATGATTATTAATAACCAATATCTTTGGGGGATTCAAAGTCTCTCCTCTTCTTCTAAATTCCCCATTTCAAACTTTCAGTTTTTCTTTAGAAGGACATTACTGATGAAATGATTTCCTTGACTCTCCTAAATCTTGATCAGACACCACCTAATCTTTTTTTATATTAATTTATTTTGATTTATCAATAATCACTTCCAAATGCTTTTGAGTTTAAAATTTTTCTCCCCCTTCCTCCCCACCACCCTCCCCAAGATGGCGCACAATCTGATTTGGGTTATACATTTACATTCATATTAAACATATTTTCACATTGGCGATGTTGTAAGTAGAAATTAAACCAATAGGAGGAACCATCAGAAAGAGGAAACAATACTCAACAGAAGAGAAAAAAGTAATAATTCGGCTTCCATGGTTCTTTCTTTGGGTGTGGATAGCATTTTCCATCACAAGGCCTCTGGAGATGTCTTAGATCTTTGTATTGACAGGAAGGGTTAAGTTTATCAACATTAGTCATCACCCAAAGTGGCTGTTTTTGTGTACAATGCTCTGTTCGTTCTGCTCACTTCACTCAACATCAGACCATACAAGTCTTTCCAGGTTTTTCTGAAGTCTGCCTGTTCATCATTTCTTACAGCACAATAGTATTCCATCACATTCATATACCACAATTCGCTCAACCATTCCCCAATTGATGGGCATCCTCTCAATTTCCAATTCTTTGCCACCACAAAAAGAGCTGCTATCAATATTTTTGTACATATAGGTCCTTTTCCCATTTGTGTGATCTCTTTGGGACATAGCCCTAGAAGTGCTAGTGTTGGGTCAAAGGGTATGTGCATTTTGATAGCCCTTTGGGCATAGTGCCAAATTGCTCTCCAAAATGGTTGGATCATTTCACAACTCCACCAGCAATGCATTAGTGTTCCAATTTTCCCACATTTTCTCCAACATTTATCATTTTCCTGTTTTGTCATATTAGCCATTCTGATAAGTGTGATGTGGTATCTCAGAGTTGTTTTGATTTTCATTTCTCTAATCAATAGTGATTTAGAGCATTTTTTCATATGACTAAAGATGCCTTTAATTTCTTCATCTGAGAACTGTCTGTTCATATCCTTTGACCATTTATCAATTGGGGAATGACTTGTGTTCTTATAAATTTGACTTAATTCTCTATATATTTTAGAAATGACAAAATTCTCTATATATTTTAGAAATCACAAAAGAAAGAAAGAACAAAAAAGAAATAAGGCCCTTATCAGAGGGACTGGTTGTAAAAATCCTTTCCCAATTTTCTACCTTCCTTCTAATCTTAGTTTCATTGGCTTTGTTTGTGCAAAAACTTTTCAATTTAATGTAATCAAAATTGTCTATTTTGCTTTTTGTAATGTTATCTATCTCCTATTTGGTCATGAATTCTTCTGTTCTTCATAGATCTGACAGGTAAACTATTCTTTACTCTCTCAGTTTACTCATAGTATCAGCCTTTATATCTAAATCATGTACCCATTTTGACTTTATTTTGATACATGGTGTGAGATTTTGGTCTATGCCTAGTTTCTGCCATACTCTTTTCCAGTTTTCCCAGGAGTTTTTTTCAAAGAGTGGGTTCTTATCCCAGAAGCTGCGGTCTTTGGGTATGTCTAATAGTATATTACTATAGTCATTGACTACTGTGTCTTGCATACTTAACCTATTCCACTGATCCACCACACTATTTCTTAGCCAGTACCAAGAAGTTTTGATGATTTCTGCTTTATAATACAATTTAAGGCTAGCGAACCTTCCCCTGCATTTCTTTTCATTAGTTCTCTTGATATTCTGGACCTTTCATTCTTCCAAATTAATCTTGTTATTATTTTTTCGAACTCTATAAAATAATTTTTTGGTAGTTTGATTGGTATGGCACTGAGTAAGTAAATTAGCTTAGGTAGAATTGTCATTTTTATTATATTAGCTCGGCCTACCCATGAGCAACTGATGTTTTTCCAATTATTTAGATCTGATTTTATTTGTGTGAAAAGCGTTTTGTAATTGTGTTCATAGAGTTCCTGGGTTTGTTTTGGGAGATAGACTCCTAATCACGAAAGAAATTTAATGTAAGATAGCAAGAAGCCCACAGTGTTCTACTCCAGATTGGTTGGAAGCAGATCCTTTTGTCTAGATAGCCCAAGGAGGGGAGTGGTCTGGTATAGATCAAAGTGGTCTGGCATAGAGACATTTTTTCCATCCGGGGTGACATGATGATGAGGTGACATCAGCCCCTATTGGAAGGACATATAAACCATGAGCACACTAACATGATTGTTCTTTGTGTAAGAGAAATGGCCAAATAACCATCTTTTTAATAATAACATACAGGCCTTATTAGCAAAATGATTAAATTAGCCATAAATTATGTCTCTTGAACTTTTTAAATGTCATACAAGCATATGATATGCACATGGGAAAGATCATTAAAGTTAATTAGCAGGCATTTGCGAACTGACAAATATCTAGAATAAATCCTATGATATAGTCATTCAAGAAAGGTCAAAATTGATTTTTGCCTGGAGATTGCAAGAGAAAACTACATAGTGGAATGGAGAGAAATAAGAAAGACCTTGAAATACATAGCACAATTATAATAAGCAGAGAAAATCAGAGAAAACTTTCCAGGAATGAAAAATATCATAAGCAAAGATAAGTTGGCTAAAAGCACCAGGCAAGAAGACCAGTAATGTTTGGGAAAATTCATAGTATGTCCTTTTATTTTCAATGCCATATTTTCTTTAAGGACTATGACTCCTGCTGTCAGGGAAACACCATAAATAAAACAGAAATGTTAAATATGTTTTAAAATTGTGTTCCTTTTGCAATTAATGATTTTAAGGATACTTTTATCTAAAAATGATTGTTATGAAATTTAGTAGAGTCCTTGGTATAGGATAGACTTAACAATCACTCATTGGTTGATTTTGAGCTTTTTCCCAAGAATATAGAATGTTAGAATTGAGACAGGAATAGAAAGAATATAACATAGAAGGTTGGAGTTTGTGATGAAAACATGAAATTAAATCTAGGAGGAATCTGGCAGATCCTCACATCCAATTTTCCCTTTTTTCCTGAGTGTGTAACTAAGATGCAGAGAAGGAAAGTGATTGCTTCCTTCTGAATTCATCATTTCCACAGACAGAAGAAAAAACTCAATGGCAGAAGACAATCTCACAGTTGTGATCGAATTCATTCTCCTGGGATTTTCTGACCTTCCCAACCTCCAAGGATTCCTCTTTGGGATTTTCTTAGTCATGTACCTAAGCATACTGATAGGAAATGGCCTCCTCATTGTCATAACCAAGATTAATCCAGCTCTCCTTACCCCTATGCATTTTTTCCTTCAGAACTTTTCCTTCTTGGAAATCTGTTACACATCAGTCACTTTCCCCAGAATGTTGGCAGATCTTTGGTCCCAGAAGAGAACTATTTCTTTTGCAGCGTGTGCTGTGCAAACTTGTTTCCTTTATATTCTGGGGGTGGCAGAGTGCTTGCTCCTGGGTGTGATGGCTTATGACCGTTATGTGGCCATATGCAAGCCTCTCTACTATCCTTTCATCATGAATCACAAGCTATGTGTCCAATTGGTTGTGGCTTCCTGGGTGATTGGTGTCCCAATAGTGATAGAGGAGACATACCAGATTTTTTCTCTGAACTTCTGTGGTCCTAACTTAATCAATCACATCTTCTGTGATTCCCCACCTTTATTCAAATTGGCCTGTGGGGACACATATAATGTAGAGGTCTCTGTCCATGTTGTTGCTGTGATATTCCTCCTAATTTCCTTTCTGCCAATAATTGCATCCTATGTCAAAATCCTAACTACCATTCTGAAATTGCCTTCAACCTCAGGAAGATCCAAAGCCTTCTCCACATGTTCTTCTCACCTCATGGTTGTGTGCTTATTCTATGGATCTGGAAGTATCATGTATTTGTGGCCAAAGTCTAGTCAGTCAGCAACATCAGGCAAAGTGCTTGCTCTTTTCTATACCACTGTGACCCCAGTGTTTAACCCCCTGATATACAGCCTGAGAAATAAGGATGTCATTGCTACACTGGGGAAATTATTTAATCACTATTTCCTTTAACTAAACTTTAAATTGAATTTTGAAGTATCCCTGTTTCTTTCCAGAAAAAAATTCAAATGGAATTTTAAAAAAAAAAATCTTTAATTTTCTTTTTCTCCTTCCTCTGGATGATCCCTAGTTTATTAGATATCAATTGAGAGTAGAGAGAAAATCACTTTTAAAGAGTGGTCTTGGGCAGTGGAGTTCATTGTGAGCTCTCTAGTTGTCAATTTAGCACATTTGATGAAACTAAAGATTCTATTAGGTTTGTATTGATTCATAGAATTTGAAGTCAGTTAAACAACCCAGTCTCTGTCTCTGTCTCTGTCTCTCTCTGTCTCTGTGTTCATTGATGGGGCAAAATATTAAAAAAAGGTAATATTCAGTGGCTTCTATCACCAAAAAGTAAGTTTTGGTGAATTAAAATACCTATATATTTAATCTATCTTTCATCTATCTATTTCCATCTATCTATCTATCTAGCTAGCTAGCTAGCTAGCTATTGTCCTTCCCTCTCTTTCCATCTATCTCTATCAATTTAACATCTATTTATCTACCTAACTTTCTATTCATCTGTATAATCAAAGCTTTGAAAGCCACCAAGTCATGCCACAAAGATGGAAGTACTTCTAAATTATCCTTTATCTTCATTTACTATTATGGCTATTTAAATATTAGTAGTTTGGATAATTTAAGAAGAAATAATTGCAGTTCTTCTGTGCTCTATAGGGACAGCTCATTTCCCAGGCTACTTTTCCATTTTTGATAATGAGCCAAATTGGACTCTGAGTCCACTGTGCACCAAAAATCCATTAATGATGCAGCCTGGTGTAGTGAAGTGAACCTTGGGATTAGAATCAGGAGACTTTTGTTCCATTTTTTATCTTTATGTTTATTAGCAGTGTGGCTGTGAGTTCTACTCTCCACTATCATATGTTGCAGAAAAAAAAAGCAATGATAAGAAATGACATTTCCTTCATAAATATGCCCTAAACCATTGAGGTTAAAGTTTTAGTATTTCTTCCTTTGTCCATCTTTTCTAGACGTTAAGAGTATGACCTCTAGGAACTCGAGGAAGACAACATGGATAATCAAACTCTATGGCATCACCTCTCTATTGTCTTAATTGAGATAGAAGATTTTGTTGCCTGAATTATGAAGGTGATCTAAGTCTGGAATTTTGACTTTTTAATGCCTTCTTTCTGAGAATTCAGATGCTGGAATTTTTCAATATTTTTTAAATAAAGTTGTTCTTCAGATGAT